TTTATTATATATATATATATATATATATATATACTGTTTTGTAATGTTTGTGTAAAAAACAAAATTTTTTGTATAAATGCAAATCAAAAACAATTTGAGAGGTTTATCTGTTTTGTGAGAAATAAAAATTATTTTGCATTGAATTTTTGTATTCTTTCTTTGTTTTTTGTTGTTTTTTTTCACTTGCTTGAACAAGGCATGGTGGATGTCATAGTAAATAAAATAACTAACATTTATGTATTTTTTTTATCAATCCAGAAAAGAAAAATCAACAAGAATTAATTGTAGAATACAGTTTGAAAATTTGATAAATCAAAAAAAAATTTAGTACTAAATTACGTATGACTTGTATTAAAATTTAGGAAGTCATGAAAAATTGTTACCTTGGTCCTTTATAAATAAGTTTTCTTTAACATATTCTGCCAGACATGGAAAAATGTGAAAAGAAGTTTTGTTTCATTATTCTTTTATACTTTAATTTCAAAATACAATATAATTTTTCTCAAAAATGTGTAATTCTCTCTTTTTTTTCTTCAGGATGGAATCCAAAGAAAAATGTGACCAAATCATACATGTGCTTAATGGGAAATATCTACCTGGTAAGCATACAACATCTAAGAATTCAACAGCAAGTAGTATATTAAGTTCTGTGATCGGTTATATTGATTAATAATATTTATGTATATTATTGACCTTGTTTGATCAAATAGTTTAATTACAAAGCCTTAAATCTTCATCTTCAGTTTAGTTCTCTAATATAAGAGATGGTTCACACAAGACTGCTTAGATGTTGATATAGTGTGTCCCATTTATTTCCCTCATGTAAGAGATGGTTCACACAAGACTGCTCAGATGTTCATGTAGTGTGTCCCATTTATTTCCCTCATGTAAGAGATGGTTCACACAAGACTGCTCAGATGTTCATGTAGTGCGTCCCATTTATTTCCCTCATGTAAGAGATGGTTCACACAAGACTGCTCAGATGTTCATGTAGTGCGTCCCATTTATTTCCCTCATGTAAGAGACGGTTCACACAAGACTGCTCAGATGTTGATATAGTGTGTCCCATTTATTTCCCTCATATAAGAGACAGTTCACACAAGACTGCTCAGATGTTCATGTAGTGTTTCCCATTTATTTCCCTCATGTAAGAGATGGTTCACACAAGACTGCTCAGATGTTCATGTAGTGTGTCCCATTTATTTCCCTCATGTAAGAGATGGTTCACACAAGACTGCTCAGATGTTCATGTAGTGTGTCCCATTTATTTCCCTCATGTAAGTGATGGTTCACACAAGACTGCTCAGATGTTCATGTAGTGTGTCCCATTTATTTCCCTCATACAAGAGATGGTTCACACAAGACTGCTCAGATGTTGATATAGTGTGTCCCATCTAGTTCCCTCATACAAGAGATGGTTCACACAATACTGCTCAGATGTTCATATAGTGTATTCCATTTAGTTCCCTCATGTAAGAGATGGTTCACATATCACTGCCTAGTTGTTCATTTAGGAAACTAAACCAGTACTATATAAAAAGTGGAGCTAGTGCAATATGAATAAATATAAAATTACATAGAATGATGAATTAGTTTTGATGTGGATTTAATTTATAAAAAGACTGAGAATAATATATATATATATTTGTTTTACTATTTTTTTGAAACATAAAAGAATGGGTAAGCATTTTTACATTGTGCAGTAATAGTCAAGTGATACACTTGTCGTACTTGCATACATGTTAAGAAAAAACTATGAAAAGCATTTGTGTATGATCCTTAGATTTTTTAATAATCTTTTTTTTCAGTTGATATTTAACTGAAAAATATATTTCAAAACATTTTTATGAGAAGGAACAAAATGAGGTAGACAGTTCTTGGAATGTTTTGTTCTAAAGGGTGTCCAAAAAGTCTGGAACCATAAGCACTTCAATGAATTTTACAGAATGTGTTCCACGTGTCCTTGTAATTCAAAACAAGTTTGGATTAACAGCAGGATTAACTCGACCCTCCAATGATTCAACAGTACTATAATCAGTGATGCATCTGAAATTGAGAAATGCTTCAAATCACCTACGATTCTAGAATTTTCGAACACCCTGTAATATGATTTGATTACGTTCTTTTCACAAAATTATTTCTCATCAACCATAAAATAGTTTATAAAATGGAAAGAGAGAGAATAACTTGTAAACTTTAATACTTGAGAAATGTAAATGCATTCTGTGAGTTTAGATACGGTTTTAGTAGTTGCCTGGTATCCGACAATGTACTGAGCACTTTGGTTCATTCTGTTAATTCATGTTTGTTGTTTCTTTCAGGCTCTAAGGATCCTCTATTAGTGAAGTTTGCTGATGGTGGAAATAAAAAGAAGCACCAATATAAAACTCAGGACCAACAGGTAGATAAAAATATGAACTTAGAAGTTGTAATTGCTTCTGGGTTATTGAAACTTAAGTGCTAACTTAGGCTGTAGTAATTAAAACCACTTGGCTTTACATGTTTCAGAAGTTGTTGCATTTGTGTTGTATATATTCAAATATGAAATGAACATATCTATTTTCTCATCATGAAATTTTTATATGCAGGACTTGATCACTAGTGCAGTTAAAGAACTTCAATATATAACAAGAAGATGAATGATTTACACCAGTTGGATACTGTTTACTTATTTATTGACAATCAATCACAGATTACTGTGCTCATAAGATCATTTTTGAGCATTGTTCAATATTTTAAAGAAAAGTAAAAGTACACTGTCCTGTTGTGTTACTTGTATGACAACTGGATCCTCATGAAAATAAAGTTATTAAGAACTGTGCACTAATTATGTGAAGATAAAAAAAAAAAAAAATCAAAGAATTAGCAGTGTTATGAATAGCTATCAGCAGTGTTAATTGAAAGTATTCATCAAATTAAATATATTTCAGTAATTCAGCATTATCAGTGAGCAGCTGTCTGCTGTACTTATTCAAAGATAAATTTACATTAAAACAACTATCAGCATACTGGATTCAACACTGTCATGAGTAATTGTCTGAAGTACCAGTCCAATAGAAAAATAAAAAGGATATTGGTACATCTGAGCTTATTGGTAGTCCAGGCTACAGTTAAAAATGATGCCTTCTCTGACCTATAGTGACTTTATATGTCAACAATGACAGTGGCTAATGATTTACATTTACAGTGCAGGATTTCTGGCAACTCTCCTAAAAAATTAAGACTTGTTGAAAGAAGTTAATTTGCCATTTCAGTAGCAAGTTGTGAAAAGTATGAAGATTAACGTATTGGTAATAATTGATTTAAGGCAAGTGTGTTATATTTTAGGAAATATAAAAGTTATGGACCAATTTTTATTATACTACTAATTAAAGCCATTACTCCCCTCTTTTCTTCACAGGGTATTCCATTGCCTTATGATCAATCAGCAGTGTCACAAAATGGGTGAGTAATTTAATGTTTAATATTTCATTTTCATAGTGTATAAGAAGGAAATGCTGTGTAATGTTTTTAAGTTCAGAAATAGTTACATCTGAACAAAAGTGTAATTTAAAGAGTTAGCAAATATACAGTAAATGTGAATTTTCTTTGTAACACATTGGAAATGTAAAACATGAAGCTGTTGTTGTTTTTAAGCTACGATATAGTGGTTGATAAATTTGGTTGAGTTTTTTTTTTTTCGAGTACAAACTTTTAACTCGTAGCTCCTTCACCTCTTGACTGATCTGGTCAAACCCTTTTGATTGATGTATTTGACCATGCTCAAGGTCTCATAGATTAATTGCCTAAAAGAATTTAATTTTGAGGGTAGGCTGGTAGAGATCCTGATGAGTAATAAAGTCAAGTTGGGCATATATATGCCCCATGCATGGTATTGTTGGCACACAGAAATATAGCTAATAAAAAGAAAAAAGTTCTCTTTGATTAATTTACTCTAATTCTGTCTAAAAGACTTTAAAAGACATAGCAATCCCATATTTGAGTAGCAGTGTATTTTTTTTTCTAAACATAAAGTTATTTTATAGTACTAAATATTAGTTATTGCAACAAACGAGTCATAGTTTAAAACAAGTTTGAAGAGAAAATGTTGTGTCTTCACATTATTTTGAAGTGGATGGCACATTGCTTGTAATTTCAAAAGATAGTAATAATTCCGTTTAGGAGTAATTTTCTTTCTGTGTCAGTATTACGCATGACATAACCAGTAAGTTATGAAGATGAACATTAATATTTTAAAATCAATAATAATGATAATTAAAAGGGAGAGCTTGGTAGTAGATGGCAGCATATGGAAAATATTGTCACTCAATTCTTTATTTAGGTGATGCTTCAAACACTTGACAACAGGCATGGGAATTTCAAAATTTGAAAATACAACTTGTAAAAAGATACGAGTCTGTGGCAAAGTTCTAGATGTGGGTGTTTATTTTTTTTTATCTGGCCTTACATAAATAAAAACTAATTTTGAATCACATGAAGAGAACTAAAAGAATATTTGTGCTAAGATAGAGCTGCATGAGTTATGGGTGATTGAGCAATAGGCTTATAAATGACATTCAGACCGTATTTTCGTGTCAAAATTCTCAAGTTTTTTTGTATAGTATAAATAAAAAGATAATTAGCTGATACTTTTTTTTTCCCCCAGTAGAGCTAGCATTGGTTAGTTTAATGTTTAACATGAGATATTCAAAATAGTTTTTATACATTCAAAAGTGATAAGACATTTAGTTTTTTAAATAGCAATGGGAGAAAAAACAACATTAATTCTTAGAGTTGTAATTATCTTTTAGAAGAATAGATAATAATTTATTAGATTATTTTGTGCATTGAATAATTAGGGTGATGACTCAACTAATCACTCCAATGGGTAACTACCAAAGGGCATATCCTGCCCCTGTCAACACTTACCCAGTGCAGCCAGGTACAACATGGGTTCACCCAACACCATATATTATTCAACCTCATATGACCCAGGTGAGTAAGAGCTTACTGTAATGGTGACGCAAGACTTGGTTTTAATATTTTTTAATGCTTCGTGTAACTCAGGTTTTTGGAAACATTTCCATCATTTGACTTGTTTGGATTTAATAAATGCAGCATCTCTGGTATAATATTTTAGGATGAATCTTAAGAAAATGTTGAAATAGTTATAGTTTAAGTAAGAAATTCATCATTGATTTTGAAGGTTTTTTTAAATGTTTATATCAATTCAGAGTTTGTCTAAAGTAGCTTCAACAACTACTATTATTGTTTCAGTAGAGATTGCTTGTGAAATGCTCTGTTTCTGTGAGATAAATGCCTGCAAATAATGGAAAATCTTGTGTCAACATACTCTCAAGTGATTATTTTAAAAACTGATGCATAAAAATAATTACCAAAGAAGACCAGAAAGCTTGTCACGGTTACTGTACACATCTCTGTCGTTCTATCACTTATGAGTTACATTTAATAGTGATTGTACTGGTGTTGTATAACAATCTTAAATTTTTCTGTATTTGCTTTTATTGAGTATGTTTTGAAAGAGGTGGTCAATTAATATTTTATATAAACTTCATACTTTTGTATATCTTTATCATAAAATTATCATTTAAGTAAATTCTATAGCTCATACTGCTTAAAAATACATTTAAAAATGTAGGTTTTATTCAACATTTCGAAGGATTTACTTTTAAAGAAAAACAACAACTTTTTTTTCTTTTTAAGTGTAAGGAAAATAAAGTGATTGATTTGTAAAGAGTGTAAATGTTGTTTTGATTAGTAATTGAATTTGGTGTTAGAATTTTCTGTTATCCTTCTGTATTAACCCTTTTGAGATGGGTCATGGGTGAAAGGCCATGTCATCTTGTTTGTGGACTCTCATTCAAAATTTTATTGAACTACTATTTCATGAATTTATGTCAATAACTTTGGTATCAAACTGTAGATTATACTTCATATTTTATTTCTATATATTACTCAATTTTTAATTTAAAAGCAAATATTAAAAAACAGTTAAACACCGATTTTTGTGTGAAGCCAAAATACTAAGTCTATAGTTTTATATGAATTAGAAACTCAAATTACCGATATTGAAAAGCTAGAGTATAAAATAAGAGCCTCTTATCTTTTCAATTTGCTAAGATATTTCTCATGTAATATATCAAACACAGTGGCACTCTGCCCACCTCTCTCTCCATTTTGGAAACATGAGTGCACATGAGCGGCATCATTGTAACTTTTGTATTGTGAGCCAGGCATGGCTGAAAGGTGAATATAATAAAAATAATATATATATATGAGATTTAAGTTTTTAGTCTAGACATTTATGTTTTAATGTTATAGTTTGTGTTCATTCTAATATGAAAGAGGCATAATTTATGTTTATTTCCTAATTTTTTATGGTGGTTGCGAGATCAGTCAAATCTACCGAACCTGTACAGAGATTAATTTCTGAAAATAACAGATAAAATATAAAGTTTTACTTAAGAAACATTTGATAACTATCTGGACATTATATAGATTTTGCATGTGAAATTTGAAAATTTTCTGATGTACAAAAGTATTTTTAATCTTAAAATAAAAATTACTTTGCATGATAGATAGGCAACATGCGAAAAAGACGTCAGAAAAATATTGCTTTATAAACCTTAAGACTTAATAAAATAAATTTGATATTTTGCGTATGAAAGCATTGTAATGTTTACTGGTAATCTGCACAAAATGGTTATGAGGTCAGTCCCAGGGACCGAGCCCATGCTGAAAGAGTTAATACTTGTAGGTAGATAAATTTTTACTACTTCACGCTTAATCTTCAGAAGGTAACAAGAGAAGATTATTTTGGAGAAATGGAACTTAAATAAACTTTCAGTACTAAGTGTCTTTGTGAGCCTTTTGTTGTAAACACAAATTTTTAGGATGGTAATTTCCTTCTCTGTAAACTTAGTACAGTTATACTTATCAGTGTAACTACTTGTAATCAGCTAAACTCTTAAGAATTTCTTTTTCAGATGATCCCATCATCTCTAGACCCCAACACACTCCAGTATGGTACACTAGTGTCTCACCTCTCTGCCCAGATGTCTCAATTGCAGCTAGCAAACACTTCTGTGAGAATTTTTCTAATTTTTTTAAGCTGAAAGGTGCTGAGACATTATGAAATCAGTACATTGTAGGTTATTTTAGTTGTTCTAAGAAACCTGGAATATTCCAATTTTTACAGGACATTCAAAGTAATGAAAAGCCACAGAGTTAAAATACTAGGAATGATGTATTTCAAAACTAGCTTTTAACTTGATATATCAAGTGGAATAATGGTTAATATAAATATATTCTATTGAAATTATATTTTTGTTTAATTAAAAAAAAACGTTCAGAAATGAGGAGTTGGACTTTATTATTTAATGCTAATGCTAACTGAATCATATATATACTATTAAAATGGGCAACTTTGAGTATTTTACAGTGAAATTTTGTTTCAAATTTCAATTTGCAGTATGTGCCAGGGACCCCCCAAGCATATGGTGGAGCTGGAACACACCTGTATCCACAAACAGCTCATGTTATTCATCCTATAGCTGTACCAGAAGTAAGATATTGTTGATCTTTTGTGTATATATGTACAGGAACTTCCACTGTTATGCTACTGTCCTGTGTTTTATAACATTTCCTTATCTCTAGTATTCTGGATGAGTAAAACTATATGATAACTACTAAATAGGTAATGAAAGCATTAATTTTGTTATAGAACATCTAGAATAGTACCGTTTAATTCTGTGATATCAAAGAATAAATATAGGGATTTACCCTAGATATTAATTAACATATTTCTAAAGATAATTAAGTTGAACACAAAGCATCTTAGATTACTAGAAATACAAGTTTTTCTACTTGTTTACTCTATAAAATTATGTGTATTTCTCTTAGAGCATAGATTTTCTGATATTAAGTAAGAAGTAAACATTTTCATTAAAATCAAAATTTCTAATGATTTTTAATAATTCTCTGCACCATGTTCATAAAAATACTTGCTACTAAGTTAATGGATAAGTAGTAAAATGATAATAATTAAGTACAATAATCAGCCAGTAAAAATGGGGGGGTAATCACATAATGGATGTTAAAATGGTAATAATTAAGACAATAATGCCATAAATGGGGGGGTAATCACATTTCATGTTAAATGATATTCAGGAACATTTGAATTGATCTCAATAAAAATGCCGTAAAGTTTCATTAGTCAAAATTCTTCTTACAAAAACAAAAGATCTGTTACAGATAGGTAAAGCAATCGTGTATGTACAGTACCTCTAGATATGATAAGTTCATGATAATACTAAGCTTTTGTTTGCAGAAGTACAAAGACTATTTCGTCACAGATACAAGAGATCCATTTTCTTCTCTGGAATATAGTTATTTCATGTAGATTTGATACATAGACTCTTTCTTTGTACGTTTTTCATACTATTTGTTTATGTTTTGTTTAAATGAATGATTCAAGTATCCTGAGACACTATCTGTAGCTTGTGTGGTTATATGTAAACTTTTTAGTGCAATTTGTTTGAATTTATGAATCCTGAGACACTATCTGTAGCTTGTGTGGTTATATGTAAACTTTTTAGTGCAACTTGTTTGAATTTATGAATTTTTTAGAACAAACTATCATAACCGCACATGTTCTAACACAATAGTTATAAAGTTGTGAAATGTACCTTGAGAAATCTTGGTTATTGTAAATGTTTTTCATTTTAGGATTCTATAAATGCTGGAGTGCCAGTGACAATTGCTACCAGTGGACAAGATGTTCATCATGGGTATAGTCCAAATTAACCTTACTAACGGTGAGGCTAGCTTTTGATAATCAGTTCGTCATTATAATTGTATTATACAAAACTAGTTTATATGCGTAATCGTATTTGTAAAGAGTTGGTTTGAAAGTAAGGAATCACATTTTTTAAATTTGTCCAAATTAATCCATTGTCTTCTGTGGTCAGTTTATATATGTTTCTGTTTTGAGAACAAAAGAATTTGCTGTAAATTGCCTCCAACATCATGACAGCTTTAGAGCTTATTTACTTTCTCAGATTTTTTAAACTGTTTATCTTTGATACTGTTGAAATGTGTTTGTATTTTATGTCATAATGTTTTACCAAATTGAAGTCTTTCTTAGCTTGGTTAATCCTTTAATCCTAACATGTACTTAATACTTTAATGAATTTTTGAGGAAAATAATTTACAATTAGTAAACTGGTTTGTTTTTTCTGTTACATAACGTATTTACATTATCTATAAGGAAGAGGTAGAATGGTGTTCACTTTATCCTTGTGTTTGGTTTAATAGAGAATAAGAAATTGTGATACAGTTGGCCTTTTAGATAGTTTAAATGCTCTTTTAACAAACTTTTATTTTCTTTGTAGAGAGAGAGAGAACACACACACACATATATACCGACCAATATGCTATTTATATATGACCTCATCATATGTTACAAACTTGTAAATAAACATTTTCACACACACAAAGAAAAAAGAAATTAATACAGTGGATTTCCTCAAAAGTTGGTTTCTAAATTTGGGCAATTTTAGGAAATAAAGTATATAAAATTTTACTTGTTTAACAGTAGACATTAATTTTTTTTACCTTATTATATAGATGGAGTTTCTTCATCAAAAATGTGTTTTAAAAAGTTTTAGATTACAGAATTGAGTAAAAACAAGCTCTACATTAAGTTATAATATTTCAAGTACTAACTATTTGATCTCTGCATTGGTTCAAGTTCAAATATAATTTTATTTAGAGTCACTCTGGCCCCCCCGTACATTTTCTACCAACCCGTTAAGTTCAGGGAAACTGAAGCAAGGACTGTAGACCCAATTGTGTGGAAGAAAAAAAAAACAATAAAAATCACACAAAAGCACTTGTGTTGTTACATTTGGAGAGTGTAAAGGTACAGAAGTCAAAACTAGACTGCAAAGTAATGAGAAACAACAATAAAAATTACCATTACAAGAACCCTACAGAATCTGTTATGTAGTCACTTACAGTTCAAAATACAAAAACCTATCAGTTTCTAGGAAGACTTGACACATATTAATATATATTTAACTTTAATATTCTATCACTTCCTATAAAACAAAAATCTCCGATATCCTTTTTCCAAAGAACATAATGATTGAGTAGATCGCTTACATTAATGGTTCCAACCTTCAATCTACAGGGAGATTTCAGCTGATCTGCAAATGTGTGTTATAAAACAATAGCTACTGAAATAGATTTAAAGTTACCTTATATTCAATATTGTATGAAGTGGTCTGTGAAAGTTTGGGATTCAAACAAGCTTATCCTCAGTAGGAAAAAGGTTGGGAGCCACTGAATTTCATGATACAATATTAACAGTCTCTTGCAGTTCATAAAAAAAAAAACGTGTCGTTTTATACTTCAAGCCAACTCCAAGTCTTCTGTAAACAATTCAAGAAAATTCTTCTTCTTTGAGAAACTTGCCCTAAGCATTCTTTCAGTTGTATGCACCTTTCTGATATCAAAGCTGGGTTTGACTCTAAAGATAGTAGAAATAAAATGTTGTCAGTTACGGTCATTTTTTTTGGGGGGGGGGACATTTCAGACATTCAGCTCTTTAGTATATTCGTTCCCCATCAAATTATTATTATTTTTCTTGAAGAAAGAAACAAGTTATAA